AAAGATGAGAACAACAGTTCGAACAATGTTATTAATTACAATACCTCATCTCAGAAATATAGACAGTGGTTTATTTTTGTCTGCGTTTCTGGGATTTATTATTTACACTGTTTATATTCAGAATATTGTCCATATCTTTGTTGTTTTTATCCTAACGTTTCGGCCGTTGTGCCCTTCAGGTGAATATCGATCTGAGTAATCTACAGGGAATTCAAACTGAACCCTTTATTTAATCAACGGGGTAGACGGTTCTCGTTCTGATGTTCAGTTATTGCTCTCCCATTTGTACTGAGTACAAGTACACTCTGACCGACCCAGGGATTGAAGATTCACAAAGTTGCTATTCCATTGAGACATAAAGTCAGCTGCAGGTGATCAACATATCATTCGCTGAATACATTCCAAGTGGACATAGTCACCCCACTGACAGGAAAGTCCTCATCCTATGTTAGAAACTTAAAAACACTTAGTGAAACTGATCCAAGGGGATCCCACCCATAACAATCGGATGGTAAACTTGGATGTGATCAGGCTATTAATCAGAGTTCTTACAGATAAAACCCTGACAGTGGTTCGAAACCGATTGAAATTAGACCCCTATCTTTGAGAACGTACTAACATTCCAATAATCTGTTGTTGACTTTCTGTGTACGGACAACATTCTTCTTACTAGAGTCTGATATATTCTTCTTACTAGAGTCTGATATATTCTTCTTACTAGAGTCTGATATATTCTTCTTACTAGAGTCTGATATATTCTTCTTACTAGAGTCTGATATATTCTTCTTACTAGAGTCTGATATATTCTTCTTACTAGAGTCTGATATATACCAACAAGAAGAAGGCTTGGCTATGGGTCTGCCATTATCACCAGTAACGGCAAAATATACATGGTATACTTCGAGGAAATGGCTTTAGAACCGGTAGCACTAAAATCAAAAGTATAGCTGAGATGTGTGGATATATATATATATATATATATATATATATATATAATAAATGATAGGAAAGAACAATGAGATTTATAATTCAGTTCTTAGCATTTATTTTTAAAAACAGTGCTTGATACAAGAGTAGAGCATAATATTATAATTGTTTTTTTAAAAATATATTATCAGCGCAACACCGAAATTCCCATGTTTCAAAACAAACTTTAAATTCAATCACAAAATTAAACTTAAAATACAAAGTTCCGTTCCATTATCAAGCGATGCTACGAAAAACTTTTTAGAAATTGATTTACGTAATTTATAAGTCCAGACAAATTTGGTTTTTTGAGATGTTGGGGTTAAAGAAAATTCATTCTTTTTTATTTTATTTTAGGCGTTTTAACTTATTTAGAAAATTCATGTATCTAATGTATTATAGCTATCGATACATTAGATATGTGAGTTTTCTAAATAAGGGACAATTTATAAGATAAATTTAATATTAGTGGAGAGATGGGAAATTAAAAATATAATTAGTTATACATTCAACATTTGAAGAGAGAAACATTAAGTAAAACCTATATTATGGAATCTGTATGAATAAATGCGAAATTGGAGCTCAATTCTCCCACGAATTCTGAGATTAAAAAATCCCCAGCTTTACTTTATAGTAATTTGTATTTATTCAACCTCCAACGAGGTCAGGTTTTGACACAAGGTCGGTTTAACGTGGGGATCCCGAGCGTGTACACCCGGCTAGGAGCAAAAATTGCCCTCAGCCTCCGCAACCGTCGGTTGCGGTGGCGTCGGTGCGAGAACCGATCTCTCTATCTGGTGCAATGAGAAGGCACGGCCCCGGGCAGCTGTTTCCCAGGGCTGGGCACCTCTCAGTATAATTTTCCTCAGTTGCGACTCTGTCCTTTGACGGAGTCGCCACTGAGTGCACTCTGCCCAAAGACAGAGACGCAACTGAGGGATGATAATTCATGTGTTATAAACTAGGTATTTACTCTGTCTTCACACTCAGATGAGTTGTGACAAAAGGTCATTTTTAAGGTGGGGACCCGAGCGCGTACACCCGGGCGAGGAACAAAAATTGCCTGCAGCCCCTATTAGTGTTCTTTTATTCGAGGGTTGTTTTGATTTTCATATCAAAAATAGTTCTGTTTCGGAATATTGTCTAATATAATGCAGAAAAGTCTTTGAAATTTGCATTTTACTTGGTCTTCAACAAGTTGGCATTTATTTGTAACACTTTCCTTAACTATAACAAGCCAATTTATGAATGAAATATTCATTTAAAATTTTTGTTTCAAAGATTTCAAGTAGTGAATATATCTTACTTTGCGAAGCGATAGCGATCGGGCGAAGCCTGCTCGTTATATATATATATATATATATATATATATATATATATATATATATATATATATATATATATATTATTTCATACGAAAAAAGTCGGTAATGGTACTAGTACGCAGTGAGTTATAGGGAGAGAAAGTGAAAGAGAATGAGAAGAATAAGAAAGATTGAGGAAAGGACAAAAATGAAGGAAGCCACATCATGTCGGTGAGAAAGTGACTGAAATCGAAATGTGTCGTATCCTTAAAGAAGGTTACAAACAGACAAAGGTTGTACTCGAGTGAAAGGAACATCAACAAGGGCGTGATGAAAGAAAGAGAGGTTTATTGTAAAAGAGAATACACTACTGAAAAACAGGGAATCGGTTAGCAGGCTAGTAATTCCCGAAGCAAGGATATCTACCAACCACCCCACGCGGTCAGATGTGGCACAAGCCCGAATTTAACGTGAAGTATCCGAGCCCGTAAGCTCGGCCAAAAATTCCGGGTCGGGTAGCGGTTTACCGAGAAGAGACTGGTGATACTCTCTGCCCGGCAGAAAGTTTGACCAGCACAGTTCTTCAAATAAATTCCCGAAGCATCCGAGGCAGCATGTGGTACAAAGCCGATTTTTAATGCATGGCAAAACCGAGCCCGAAGACTCGGCCAAAAATTCCCTGTAGACCCCGTAAAAAAAGTGGTCGGGTAGCTGTCTATCACCCCAGACGAGACTCTGCCCTTCGTTACAGCCTCGTCTGTGTTCCTCTCTGTTCGAAGGCAGATAGTTCGACCCCGTGAGGCAAGATGTGGCCATGTATTTAACTCAAAACTCTTTAGGTGAAGTCACTTTTGGATATAACCATACAGTCTAAAGAAAGGGATGACCCGCTGCCTGCAACATCGAGTAAAATCCGTAAGTGGTGACCCGGAAAGATATGATCAAGAAATGGTCAGTATAAGCAGTACCATACAACGTAGCAACTACTATGGGTACATGACAACATCTCCCACAAATTGGGATAGAAAGGTACAAGATGATAACAATACTCAGAAAACAACCTCAGTTTGCCTACTCTATGTGAAGGGCTTATCGGAAAAGATACAAAAGATCTGTAGTCCATACAACCTTCACGAGTGGTTCAACACAACGCAGACATTTCTTCAGATTAAGAACACCCATAGAGGAGAACATAATTAGTGTTTACGCCATCCCGTGCAATTGTGGCAAGAAATGTAAAGGAGAAGCAGACCGCCTCCTTAAGATAAGACTTCAGGAACGCCGTAAGGCCGTAACACGAGGGGAAATAGAAAGATCCGTCATGTTTGACCATATAAGGAGGGAAAAGGGGGATCATAATGGGATCAAGTTGAAATAATAGAGAACATCACTGCAAAATAAGAAAGCTTAAAGAATCAGTGCATATGCTAGGCTACAAATATCTAAGCCGGCCAAGCATAGGCATGAATACAATATGGAAGTCAGTAATACAGAGTGCTAGAGAAAAGTAACAATAACAAAAGTTGCAATATGAGTTCTGGTAAAAATGTTTACTGAGACATTAGGTTTATAAAAATTCACTCATTGATGTCCCTAAGGATACGTGGCTCAGTGGATAAAAGCGTTGGTTGAGTGATCCAAAGAATTGTTAGTTCAGTAACTGGCAGAGGGAACAAAACTTGTTGAGTAACTAATTGGAACAATCTAGACTAAGTAAAGCCTTCCTTTCGAAATTCCAACGTATATCACCTGAAGAAGGCCGAAACGTAGTAAATATGGCAATAAAGATGAGGACAACAGTCCGAAAAATGTAAATAAAATAATTGTGTATATGCAAAATTGTTCCTGGATTTTTAGAATCACTATGATAACAAAATTAAATTCGATCAATCAAAAAGTAAGTTTTTATAACATATCGCCTTTTCAAGGTAAGATAATATTTATAATATTAAAATAGATACTAGTTAAACATTTCATACATTCTTTAATACCTAATTAAATAAACATACAAAATATTTTATCAATTAAACGTATTCACTAATTTCTTTAGTGATACGTGCTTTATTTTTAAATTTTTGTTAAAATACAAACCAAATTTTATTAAGATTTTATCTTAGAAAAGGACAATGCTTGATACACACTTTGGCGATCATGTATCTTTCGATACATGACTGACGAGGCAGATTTTTTCCCGCAGTAGGTTGCCATTTCTTTCTGTGGTAGACCAGTTGCCATCCAAGACTATAGAACACGGTCTGTCTTGCTATTTACCCATAGCTGGTGGGTTGAGAAGAGGATTCATACTTTTCTCAAGGGTACGTACATTCACGTAAGTGAATGTAATGGATTCAAATAGAATCTCTGATTCCTCAATCCGAGCCGCTATCCATTACTCCACCGTGCCTCCAATACGGTTAAAAGTTATCCGGACATCGTACAAGGAACACAGCAAAATGTTTACTTTTGACGAGCATCATGGTCTTTTAAACTTGTTTCAGCAGTTCTGAGATATTGATTAATGTATTTTTGAGGGTAAATTATTTTGGCATATAGTCAAGTAATTTTGCATTTAATCAACCAAGCTACCGATAAGTAAACGATAATGACAACGATATATAAACACAACTATTCTTACCTGTCTACTTACCCATGTCGTTTAGCTTATCTTCCATCGAAACATACTGACTGTAGAATTCCAAGTTACGTTACTATCAGCAGTTCCGTCGTTAAATGCTATATTACCCACGTATCTATCTATCTATCTATCTATCTATCTATCTATCTATCTATCCTTTCTTTATAACTGTTAATTCCCTTTCACTTTGTTCTTATATCTACCTCTTTTCATATCTATCTATCTATCTATCCTTTTTAAGTACTTTTAAGTTCATTTATGCTAGTTATTTTCATTGAAAATTAAGATTAAGGAATAAAAAACAAACGTGAATTATGGAAAAATAAGAGAGAGAGAGAGTAATATTTATAGAATATAATTAAAGAGAATAGCATTATCAAAGAGAGAGGGAGAGAAAGGGGGTAGACAGTAAATGGCACAATCAGAAAAAGAAAGAATGGCAGAATCACAGAGAGAGAGAGAGAGAGAGAGAGAGAGAGAGAGAGAGAGAGAGAGAGAGGAGAGAGAGAATGGCACAATTAGAAAAATGCGGAAAAGTAATCTTGGCGGATTTATGACGTTTTGCTAAGCGTATCTTAGACAAAGCCGAAGGAATGGGGGCACCAAGTGAAGATCGAACTATTCAATCGTAATTGATCTAACCTTGGTAACCATTACATCACGTCGAAGCGCACAACCTGTACAATTTTAGGAATGACTTACAAAGAAATATTCTTTGCCAATCATGACTGATGACGATTTACTTTCCGATTGTTTAATTATTACTAAAAAAGCTTAAAAATTTGTGTTTTTACCGTTGTTAGTTTCATCTCTGCGAACGAATGTTTGCTGTATTTCTACAAGCCGTGAAAGTTTCACTACTGCATGCGCAGTGATTGTAACATTCAACGGAAATGCGCAATGCTCATTTGAACTGAGTCACTTTGCCAATTGGCTTCGTGCTATCGACTCGTACTCAGTTATTACCTGATGTTTTGCAAAGATGTGTTGAAACGGCTTTGCAACCTTCACGATAGATGACTAATTCAAGCAATGTGTTTGCATCAAATTTTGCGTAAAGTTTAGAAAAAAACTGCTACTGAGATCTTGAAATCAGATCGTTGACGAATATTCTTTATGTTGAATAGAGGTATTCGCATTTCAAGGCGGGTTGAGTATCGGTTTAAGATAATGAGCATGCAGAAGAATATAAGCGCCAGAAAATGCCAAAAAGATTCGTGAACTCCTCCTCTGGGGGCCGGCTCTTTGACATGACCGGAATCAGTTGTGTCCTTTAGAGGGTTTCGCGAAGTTTGCTACCGGTTCCGAACGTTGTGTATGTTCGAAAGAAGACTATTTGATGAGGAACACATTTAAAAATGTTATAAAAGAATTTTTAAAGGCTTATTCTGGGATTTTTCCTATAGTATCTCGGATAAGGTGCTAACCAATTTACCAATTTAAGGAACACCAGAAAGCAAAGAAAGAAAACAAGACTTGGAATGTTTTGCTAACATTTTTACTAATATATATGTTCATATTAATATTTTTACATGTATTTTCAAGTTTGAAGCCCCATAGCTGGGACCCTAACAGGTGCTACCATCCTGGGTCATGCTGGAACTGGAAACAATAGCAAAACATCTTGATCAGAGGCCTTGCTACCGGACTTAGTTTATCAACATACCCATGACGTGACGGTATAGGAAGATTTATAAATACACACTGCATATTGTAGTGAGTAACCTAAAATTAGTTTCAGTCTATTACATCTTTTACGTTGCCTATTGCGAAAAACAAATAAAAAACAAGAAAAAATCAAAAGCAGGACAAACGGGAAAAAACACAATCGTCACTGACTAATGCTATTATATTGTTAATAGTTGTTAAAAAAATGTTCAAAATCAACCCCTCATAAAATAAAAAGAAATGATTGGAAATGAGAAAAAAACCTGAAAGGAAAAGAAAATTGATGACGTAATTTCAAATTATGAAAAACAGTTGAGTTTCAACAAATAAAAAAATGATAGAATTTACAGCTAACACAGATATAAGCACACAGACAAATACATACATGTAGACAGAGATACACATACGCATACGGCCGTCGTCTTAACATAATCATGAATAGACTGAAAAAAGTCATGGATAAATGCCTTTATGGAGACATAATAAAAATTTTTGGACCATTCATGGACTCTGCTCGAACTTTATGGAGCTTTCTCGAACTTGTTTTTGCTTATTTGTAAGTTTGTATTTTATATTAGTTATAAAAATACATAAGTACTATCCAATTACATCATTAGCAAATTGAAAAATAAAGCTTCTGAAGTATTTTGATTTTTTGCCTTTATTGCGTATATAGTAAAATCAAATTTTCGGTTTGGGGTGACATTTTTCAAGAACTAAAACAAATTAATGCCAAATTCATCGATTTAAGACACAGGAACGTAGGGTTACAAAAAAGTCATGTTTTAATATATATATATATATATATATATATATATATATATATATATATATATATATATATATAGTCATCCACAGACAGACTGTTTCGCTGTAACATCAGTGTGGCTAGACATCCGATCGCTTCAAGCCGGGATCGAAATCCGACCGATTTGGCATCAGTCAGAGATTCTAACTCCTAGGTTATCGGCACCCGGTAGAGAGAAAAGCGAATTTTTTGCGAAATTTTTCATAAACACGGCAGTGACCTAGAGGACTCAATCCGTTGGGAGAGTCTTGTATTATTAGCAGTAATAGTCACTGTTTACAAATTCGCGAGAAATACGATTGTCATTCTGGGTATGTGTTTATTTTCTTTGAATACGACGGAAAATATGATGAATGGCGAAAGATGCGTCCCAAAAGCTAAACAAAGTATTACGAAAGAGGAAAATTTCTTTAGAAACAAAGATGAAGAATGTCTTGAGACAACAGAGATGTAGTTCTTCATTTTTTTTTTTACAGTAAGGTTCACTCTGTACAAGGCCCGGTAGTCCCTCGGGGTAGAGGCTTACGTTAAGGGATAGTTTATATGGATAGGAGGGGAAGATAATAGCTAACTCTAGACTTGAACAGGTTAACATTGTTGTGATCGGTGAAACATCCTCTTGGGAGTCTGTTCCACAGAGCTGTGGTTCGCGGGAGGAAGCTGTTCCAGTGGAATTTACTTCTCCCCGACGGAAGGAATACGGAGGGAATGTGGGTTGTTTGCTACTATGTAAGTAGCATAGCGGGTCCTAGCTGTGAAAGATCTGGCGCAACAAAGGAATGTAGTTCGTTCGAGCACTTTCCATGGAAGTCGCGATAGAGCAGAGAGACTCGCCACATCCCTCCCGTGAGAAGAGACTCGCCACATTCATCCAGAGAGAGAGAGAGAGAGAGAGAGAGAGAGAGAGATATTAGAAGGTGGAAAATAATTCTTCTCTAACAAGGACTCGGAGACGCATTTGAACTCTATCATGACTGGAAAGTGAGGACTGGGCAGCTCCCGCCCAAATATGGCAACAGCATTCCATTTTAGGCCTGATCTGGCTCTTATTAAGGTAGAGGATAGCATGATGTTGAGAATACCATAGACATAACATATGTGCAAGGAGGAAGTTTTAAAGAAGCATAAGAACAAAAAGGACACTTATTTAAAATCAGAAAGAGACATTTGAAATGTTTGGGACTTATAATAAGGAAAGAAGGCGTAGAAACTTTGACACTCAGGAGATTTACAGACGACAGAAGAAGCAGAGGCATCGAATAACCTCTCTAACGAGTTTGTGTCAATTTGCTTTTTTTTTTAGTCGTTTCGCCCCAAGTAAGGCAATAACGCCACTAAAACGCAGTGGCTTACTGAGGGTGAAAAATACGAGAAAAAGACAAAAACATTAAGGAGAGAGAACAATAAAAAAAACAGAAATTAAGCAGATGATAACGTTTGACATTGAATTTAAATTTTTGAAAAACAAAGTTGACTTGAAAGTAAGAATCTGTTACAACAACTGATGTGAAGGAAATGAAATAATGAGCACTCACACAATTTAAAAAAAAAGCATAACGTTGCTGCAATTAAAGGAACCATTCAACACTTAACGAATTTACAAACTTTAATTATAAACCAAACAAGAATGAATTTTGCATCAGGCGTTTTCTTAATTATGAAGAGGGTTGGTCGTGTAACGTTATCGTTGTAAAGACTAATAATTAATAGGATATTAAATCTTTCATAAGAAAAATATTGTTTATTCACTTCTGGACTTCATGAGTTAATATCGGCGTGAAGGTATGTGGATTTGAGGGCTTTCTTCGAACGTAGATCTTCAAAAGATGGCCTAAAAAACTATTTTTTACCTCTCGGGTAATGTGCTCATATGACTCCTTTGTCATCCAGTTGTCCCATGTGTACACGTTCGAAGTGTAGCTGGATCTATCACCACTTACATGTCGAGGTAGCTATTGAATACTGTGAGGCGCGAATCTGCATTTGGTGTCTAGAAAGTCACTTTCTAGGTCAGCCCTTTCATACAACTAACTTCTCTAATGCGACAGAAAGTGCAAAGGTCATTTTGCTATGCCTTAGTGTGAGTTCAGTTCTATATTGGTGTCACCATAGATCAGCTTCTCCTCCTTATTGAAATTAAATCCGATTCACAAGATCTGGAATTTCCTGGTGGAAATCACATGCAGTCAACTGTCAGCGCAAAATATTTTTTGATAATCCTCTTTTAGAAACCCTTCTTTTAGGAAGAGCATTTCAGGATTAGTCTTCAGCTTTACCATGGAGTCATATACACACCCATCGACCACATTCTCAATGAAGTGGAAACTGTACTGGCATGTTAAAACACTTATTTCTAGTCCTGAATACAGTTTCAGTTTTGAACATTTATTCCATTACGGGGGCTTACAGCCATATCACTTTGAAACACCAGTTCTTCTAGGATTACTTTAGTTAAGCAACGTCGAATCTGGTCAATACCTAGATAAGTCTACCTATGTATATTCATATCTATCTATCTATCTATCTATCTATCTATATTTTCTTATATCTATCTATCTACATATATTTTCTTATATCTATCTATCTACATATATTTTCTTATATCTATCTGCATATATTTTCTTATATCTAACTACATATATTTTCTTATATCTAACTACATATATTTTCTTATATCTAACTACATATATTTTCTTATATCTACATATATTTTCTTATATCTATCGATCGATCGATCTATCTACATATATTTTTTTCTATCTATCTATCGATCGATCTATCTACATATATTTTCTTCTATCTATCTATCTATCTATCTATTTTTCTGCTATCTATGTTTATTCCTATATCACTCTATATAAGCCTATCTATCTATCTATCTATCTATCTATCTATCTATGTCTGTTCCTATCTCTATATATTCCTATCTATTTATGTCTATTCAAATCTCTATATATTCCTATCTATTTCTATTCCTATTTATCTATCCATCTCTCATTTATCTATTTATCTCTCGATCAAATTCAAATATATGGCTGCGAACGCGGTTTGCTTAAAAAAAAGTGAGATTTTCTACTAAGTTAGAGATCAATACAATCACAGATAACGTACAGAAAACAAACACGAGATGCAAAGTTATATTTATGTTAATATAATAAAGATATAGAGTGGGAGAAGAAAGAAAACATAAAAACGAATAGGAGAAAGGTAAGAAAATATAAAAATTGTCATAAGCTTTGTATTGAGTGAAGATTAGTAAAGAAGAATCTATTTTAGTCTATATCTGCTATATATAGTGTATAAAAGTAAAATTACATCCCATAAAAGTTGATTTTCATAACATTGATAAAAGTTTTGCAGTTCTTCTTTAATCGTATGAAATGGTCAGACAAGTTTGGTCAGGATTGTAAATGAGAGCAAAAAGTTTCATTTAGGGTGAAAATATTGAGAATAATAACATTCAATTGAAGTTACTCTATATTGTAGGCACAGTGGAGTAATAGATAGCAGTTCGGATTGAGGAATCGGAGATTCCAGTCGAATCCATTACATTCACTTACATGCTAATACCCATGGAAAAAGTAGGAATTCCAGTTATGGGTAAATAGCAGGGCAGACCGGGTTCTATAGACTTGGATGGCAACTGGTCTACCGCAGAAAAAAATGACAACCTACTGCGGGAAAAATCTGCCTCGTCAGTCATGTATCATACGATACATGATCGCCTAAGCGTATCACGCATGACACATAACTGACTGACTGTTATGGTCCAGGTTAGTACCAAGGAAGAACAACACGAACACAAGAGTAGAAATAACGAAGGTATATTACACGAAATAATAATACAAGATGTGGAAGGTGTTAGTATGACTGTCAGTCTGGTTTAGAGTGAACTACTATCGGCTCGACTCAATTCGGTATCTAGCCCCCCCCACGAGGGTTGCATGTGGCACAAGGCCGAGTTTAACGTGGGTTTCCCGAGCCCGTAGGCTCGGCTAAAAAAAGCCCGTAGAACCCGTATAAACGGGATCGGGTTGGTTAAACTCCCCGAACGAGACTCTTCCCTTCGGCGGAGCCTCGTCCGGGTTCCTCTCTGCTCAGATGCAGAGAGTTCGACCGTCAAGCCGAGAAGCTCGGCTTGATTCGACCCTATCTCTTGAGAGGCGTATTATACATAGTGTTAGGAAGACTTCATTCTGTAGTTATAGGTAAAGGACCCATAACACTGACTATATTGCAATCTGCTTAAGCGTGAAAATTAAGTTGATATGCGAAATGATTTAAGCATTTTAAAGAAATTAGGATTCTTCTAATGCTCTGATAATTTTTGACTCACACACAATTCAGATTTTGAAAAAAAAGTAGCAATGTTATCATCGATACCAAAAATTTAAACATAAAAATCCACTTATAAAAAATAAATGTTTTCACATCTAATTTTTTTCCTATTTATTTCTGTTTATATCTAAGTGTCTCTCTAGTAGCTGAGATAGTTGTATTTGTTTTTTGTCTATGATTGATTCTGCAATTGATGCCTATAACTGATTTTTGATTGATTTTTTCACCGAGGGAGGGGGGCTGTCAGAGTACAATTTTACTGCTCTTATTGCTGTTTGTATATTAGAATGTCTGTAAAATCTGAAACATCTCGAGATAATCTTTCTATCGACGTAGCAACAAGTGACAAATATAACAGTTACTGTCTATGTATATCAGGATCAGAGACATGTGAGTAGGTAAAACGTCATGGAGTATTTTGTTTTGATGGGTTGAATTCCAAGTATGTGCGATATTTTAATAACTTTGATAAACGATAAAGATTCTTATGACTAGAAGAACATTTGTGAAATGGCACAGTTCATGGCTAGTTGTGAAAAAGGTATTTGGCGGCCAAGATTTATCGATGAGGGAAACGTAAACAGAAGTTTTCAACTATGTAGTACAAAACTGAAAGGCTACTGTGACACAAATTGTAAATAGATTTAATCAAGATGAAGGAAAAATGAATTACAGCACCATAGTACACATATTCTTGTTACATGGGACTTCGGAATAGCAGGCTATTCGAAGTATCCATGTTAACCAATGTTTATTATCGAAAGCGCGTTCAATGGCGACACGCGCGTTGAAACTGAACTAATTGGAAGATGATTGTCTGGTTCGTGGATTTTCACTTTCATCTGAATAAGGTGGACAGCGATATAGATGCGCGTTGTTATCCTGGGGAAATGATAGTAACAAGATAGACTGAGAAAACAAAAGACCAGTGGAGGTAGTGTGATGGTCTGGGCAAAGTTTAGCTGGGCAACACTAGGTTCTATCATACATGTATATTGCTGTTTAGCACGTACCTCCACATTGTTAAAAACGAGGTACACGCATTCATGATAAACGCCCTCTATGACAGTGGCAATTAGGTCATCCGGCACTTTGTCACCATGTATGGGAATGGTTTAAAGGACATGAAGGGGATTTCACAATCATCAAACTCTCCAGATCTCATTCCCATTGAGCACTTAAGTACTGGATCAGGAAGTTCGCTCTTGCATCTGTTACCTGCTATTAACAACCTGGTACCAGTTCCCAGTGGAGACCTTCATCACTCTCCACAGATTCTGTTGTTTTTTCGCTTCGTGTTTTTTTTTTTTTTATATAATCTGTGAGCTACCATAATTTCTTTGAAAATAGAGTGGAGTGGTTTCCCGTTGCCTTCTCCGTGATTTTGAATTCAGAGTTGTTGTTCTTGACTGGTACAACACGAGATGAGAGAGAGAGAGAGAGAGAGAGAGAGAGAGAGAGAGAGATAGATAGAGATAGAGAGAGAGAGAGAGAGAAAGACCATTTTACCTTGCTATTTAACCCATAGTTAGCTGCTGACAGTATACGGATTCATGCCTTTCCCAAATGAATTAGTGTGAGACTAGACCGGACTTTGCCAAGACACCGTTACGCTATTCACATCGATATAGGCCAACTGAAATGAATTCGATATGAATAGTCTGTAAAAATCAAAAATAGATTCACATGCATTACAGTAAATCTATTCATGTACATTGATATAATAAGGCCTGGCTAAAGGTTTGGCAGCAAACCCATCTGCCAGGGCGGCTAGATGGTCCTTATTGCAGACGCCGCCTGCTCAGGCATATTTGTGTTTGTTCAACACTCACACATCGCATCTGTTACTCGTGCTACAAATATGTTACAGTTTGTGGAAGTGAGCGTATCAACTGGCGTGAATAAGAAGTTTGAACAAGGCTAGTAGGCTCAGATTCTCGGTCATAATAACTTGTGATTCCTTGCTCGTACAACCATCGACGAACAGTTCCGCTTACCAATCTTCACTCACAAGGCTTGGGCCAACGCACCTTCCAAAGGTACCTCACGCTAGGATCACTTGCTCAGACCAATAGCATCAAGAAATCCTCTTATTGACAAATCGGCCATAGTCAGAATTCGAACTTTGGTCTCATCGTCGAAAAGCAAATGTTCTAACCATTGGGCAACGTGCATATATATATATATATATATATATATATATATATATATATATATATATATATATATATATGTACGTCACCACAAAATGTATCCTTTCCGGTTACATCTTTAATGTATTAGCCATCCGACAACATACATATTTCTCTCACTTAAACCGTCTTTGACTCCCTCTCTAAAACTTCTCTCTGTTAAATTTTAATCCCCCCACCTTCTCTCGTCTGTTACCCCTCTCTATAGCTCTAACATTCGTCCCACACTCTCATACTCACACTCTCTAAATTTTTTTTTTTCCGGAGTTGTTTTTTCTTTTTTCTTTTTGAATTTGTAGGTCTGATCAATTGGATCGTATTTACAATTCCAATGGAATAAATTATGACCATGGAATATCAGTGTTTAAGCCTTTTTATTATATCCTTACTCTGTCCCGGACATTGATTTATTCCATTGTAAGCGTAAATACGATCCAATTCATCAGACCTAAATTTGTAGGTCAGATGAATTGGATCGTATTTACGATTCCAATGGAATAAATTATGACCATGGAATATTAGTGTTTAAGCCTTTTTATTATATATATATATATATATATATATATATATATATATATATATATATATATATATATATGTGTGTGTGTGTGTCTGGAAAGGACTAATTTCACGCTCTGAGTAATGCAATTGGCAAATAATTGGAGACATTTCTGCGCATGTGTAAACAGACCATATCCTGTGCAGTTACACAGTCGGCATTGTGACACTCGCATTTAGAGCGAATATGTACCAGGTTTTTCTTGAAGCTTGAACATTCATCAGCATAAATTATTCGAATGATAAAGAAAGTTTTCGGATACGGTTTACAGAGCGAAACGCAGATAACAATTTGGTGGCGATAATTCTAATTGCTTGAATTTTCCTTTAACAAGCAAAACAATCGTGAAAGAGTTGTAATCAAAAGAAATCGGTGATTGACACTGCGAGAATTAGAAGAGGATTCCACCACAGTGGGCTATTACATGAATTTATGAAAACATTTAACTAACTTGGCAGAGTTTTTTTGGAGTTGACTGAGAACTCATTGGAATCATATTGTCAAGAAACATTACAAAATATTAAATCTTTCAATAGAAACAGAACGATAGAGAGACCGATAGATATAAACAGAGAGAGAGAGTGAGAGAGAAACACTGATTGATATAAACAGAGAGAAAGAGAGAGAGAGAGAGAGAGAGAGAGAGAGAAACCGGTAGATAGAAACAGAAAAAGAGAGAGGGAAATACCGATCGATATAAACAGAAAGAAAGAGAGAGGCTGATAGATAGATAGACAGAAACAAGAGAGAGAGAGAGAGAAACATAAAAAAGAGGGAGATAAACCGATATATAGAAAGAGAAAGGGAGAAAGAGAGAGAGAGACACCGATAGATAAAAACAGAAAAAGGGAAAGAGGCCGATAGATAGAAACAGAAAGAGAGAAAAAGACTATAGATAGAAACAGAAAAACAGACCGATAGAAAGAAACAGAAAAGAGAGAGCGAGAAAGGCCGATAGATACATACATAGAGAGAGAGAGGGACCGAATAATGGAAACAGAAGATATATATATATATATATATATATATATATATATATATAGAGAGAGAGAGAGAGAGAGAGAGAGAGAGAGAGACCGATAGATAGAAACAGAAAAAAGAGACACCGATAGATTGAAATAGAGACCGATAGAGAGAAACACAGAGAGAGATAGACAGACAGATCAGAGAGAGAGAGAGAGTGAGTGAGTGAGAGAGAGTTAAGGAGAGAGACAGAGAGAGAGAGATAAAGAATGAGATATATATGAATGGTTAGATAACCAACAAAGTTTGGGGGGAGAGAGAGCGGGGGGCAAAACAAAGGGTTTGATGTGTGGGTAGGGCGGACAAGTCATTGGAGCTGCTGGTAAGCTTTTTGCGCACGACATTAGTTCATGTCATTTTTACAAGTGAGGGATTATTCAAATGGTGACCAGCACGAAGAAAGAGAAAGGAATGGCTTAGAAGAAAAATAAAATTTAATGAAAGATGGGAAGAATGAATGAAAAGTACAGAAAATAATGAATGAGAACGCAGATTGATTTGGTATTTTTTCGGCTTATCAACATTTTGCAGGTTATTTAATGCCAGATTATAATTCTTTTAGATTCTAAGAATTTTTTGGAGACCATAGTGATTTACTGATACAAGTTCTACTCTTCGGATAGAAGAGGTGGATTCATACTTTTCTCGAGGGGGTCTGCGCATAAGTGAATATAACGACCCCGACTGGAACTGGAACTCGGCTCTACCGATTTCGAATTCAGAGTCGTTATCCATTACTCCACTCGCACATATAAGCTTACAGCGCCTGGTGAGAACGCAGATTACAAGAAAAAGAAAAAGAAAGAAACTGACAGACACTGAAAACAATATAAAAAAGTAATCATCTTTATACATAGAAACCTCTTTTCAATAACACCCCTCCAGATAATCCAAACCTCACAAAGATCTATACAAAAAAAAAAAAGAAAAAAGAAAAAAGAAAAAGGAGGCATAGACAAAACGAATAAAAAAAGTAACGCTTGAATTGAATTACAATTATCTTTTTTTCGTGAAGGTTGTTTGGCGAAGTTTTAAAACACTTTATTGTTATTACACACACACACACACATAAATACGCGTATACTTTTACTTACTTTTCGTCGGAGGTTTCGAAATAACGCAATTTTAGCTTCTTCCAAATTTGTCACGCCCTCTGTTTTTATGCCATAAAGTCTAATCGACGCAATCGCTGTTGGCAGGTCTGGAAGCGAGGCGATTTGCTCATCACTTAAAGGAGAAAGGGGCTGTTTGGCTGGTGAGTGACTTGCCATTTTTTTAAAAATAAATAGTTTATTTTATTGGAGGCAGTAATATTTTCCAAACAGAAATACACAAAGTAAAAGTTCTTTCTCGCAAGGAAATATAAATAGTACAGTTAAGAATCCACCGAGTCAGCTGAACCTGCTAATGGCGTCTATACGCAGGTACAACTTGTTAGCGATCTCATTCATGTTATCAGTTAATTGTGTACAGGTGCAGTATACAATGCCGCACCTTCTTTTTTTTTCCTTTTATAAATCTTGTTTAAAGAATAACACCAGATATATTTTTCCCGCCTGTTTTTTGCTATACAGCTGGTAATTAAACTCCTTTTCTTGGCCCGTCATATATCCAAGGAGAGAAAATACTGATTGTCTAATTTTTCTTACTTTGTAAAAAAAAAAAAAAAAAAAATCCTGTCATTTCTTATTTGAACTGTGATTGGTTGAATTAAAAATGACGTATACACGAAGTATCTCAAAAGTTTAAGGTGACAGAAATGGATCGGCGGAAAAAAAAAAAAAAAATGGATAAGTTTCCATAAGGACAATTCTCCTCTTCCTCTTCCGGAAGGAATAAAAATGATTTGTTTGTTTTAAAATTAAAAGTAAGTATTTTTTTCTAAGCAGAAAGAAACGACATTTTTCTTTCAGTGTGATCGTGAAAAATGTTCAATAATAAGTTATTTTTAAAAAGCAAAAAAGTAAAAAAAAAAAAAAAAAACAAAAAAAAAAACGAAAATTAACA